CATCAGTGACGTTATGTCCGAATAAGTTGATTCCGGTGGCCTCCGACATCATGTTGTCAAACGTGGACATACCTAGCGTAGGCGTTCTCGTTGATACAATAACGATTGTCTAATTAATGCAGAGAACACCCTATCGGGGGTCTGATAGACCCTGATCGATCATTTATCATTTCCAATCAAATTGAGAAGATTTTTTGAACTCTTTTAAGACTTTAAAAGATTTTGCGCGAGATGTAGATTTTTTCGCAAGGGACATTGTGAGAATTACAATGTTTTTAAATATTTAATTTAAAAAAAAACAGATATTTAAATAATATGAATTCGAGCCCACCTTCGAAAAACTTGCATTTTTGTCTCTGATTGGTTAAGAAGTGTTCCACTTCGGCTTCTTTCATCCCAGCGCTAAAGAAAAGAAATAAGAAGAATAAATCTATTATTTTTTTATTTTTCAATTGCAATAAAATTTTCGTTCACCATTCATTCCATTTACAATGCAAAATTATAATATAATTTTATGCATTTTCGTTGCAACGACATACATTATTATTAAATCAAAGTTTTATGCTAATATTAAACTCTAATTTCCTTATAACGTCAATTAATGCTTCCAAATAATTTCTTCGCTCTCTTTATCAATAGTTCTTACTATAGATCGTAATTTCTTAACATCGATTTACAATAAATTAATGGCACAATGTTTATCTCTTACCTTAAATTTTATTTTATTGTAATCACAATTATTTCACGTTATGAGTACTAGTAACAGCACTGTTTGAAATGTAACTTCTTCAGGATATGCACCTGCGCGTGATTGTGGCTGATCTGAAACTTTGGTAGAGAATCAGCGACATAAATCGGGCGGCTGCGCGTTGAGCTCACTCTTGCACGATTTTCCGCACCCCTTCCTCTCGTAATGACGTAAAAACAAACTTGAGTACGTAGAACAAGTCAACGAATTGGCCGCCAAGCAAAGAATGCTCGTTGCACGTCGAAGGTTCGTGATTTTCAATTGTGTCATAAACAAGCAACATAATAAGCATAATTTAATCTCTCTATGTGAGATATCTATTTAAAAAATATTACATGTACATATATAATTTTAAATAAGTAATATTTAATTTAGTAAAAGTAAATTTGCTACCTAGTTCAATAAATTTAAAATTATTTAAATTTTAAATAAATATATAAATGTGTTAATTCCATAATCAATGCAATTGAGGTAAAATTTCTGAATAAAGAATTAAGCAACAATTATTTCAAACTCTTATACAGAGTTTTACTAAAGAAAGACTTGTATATTGAATTAAGTATCTTTTAATATCCAATTTAATATTAAGTTTTGTAATCGCCATTAATGCGTATATAAATTCGTTTTTATTATTTTTGAAACTCTGATAAGTAAATATGTGTCGTTCACAAATTTTCATAATGTTACTGATGTTTGTAAAATGTTCAATTTTTAGGATATTCTTTTATCATTATATCATCTCTAACTCATGTCACGATTCAATTTTTCAGGTGTGTAAATGTCGCCATGCTTTGTGCAACGTATTTATAAGAATACAAACAAATCACTTATCTAGTCCATCAAAAATTTAATCTTTGAAAGTTCTTTTTGATAGACTGCTGTCAATATTAGCTCAAATCATCACAAGTTAGTCGTCAATATTAGCTCAAACCATTATAGGATTCAGTTTGAATTTCTAATGATATTACTCGAGACAAACTTCCGCATCAAAAACTGATGCGACGTAAAACAGATACCGATACCATTATAGCGCTATCAATTAACATATAATAATTCAATTTTCAAAGACGCCTACTCAATAAATATATTTTCGGAACGGGTTTATTAATATATATTAATGTATTAATATTTACTGATTTTAATGAAATTACATAAATTAAAAATTATCTTTTTAATATTTTTACAATTTTAGTAACAAAAGACAAAATCAATAACAATGCATTATCCATTAGTCCATTACGATGTATTATTAAAAAAAATTTTTTTTTAAACCTTACAAATATTACATAAATATTTATATTTAAAAAAAAGTATATTTTCCTGAGATCTTTCTTTTTGATAAATGTTTATCATGAAAAGGATTCTCCGCAACGCATATTCAATGCATATTCAATAAGGAAATAGGACAATCTTATAGGGAATAAAGCAAACGAAATGATGTAGTCAAAATTCATTTTATGTTAAATCCGTGTAAGGGACACGTCATAACAGAGTATATCTTTCTGCTCGAATCAGTTCGGAGAACCATCGAAACACACACACAATTGTGTCTTATTTACATACATTCATCGTTGCGGACCGAAGAGAGTCGCATAACGTAAGTATACGTACCGTAAATATCACCGTCCTAATCGCGCCGTAAAATTCTTGTTCTTCAACATATCCGATAAATTGTTATCATTACACGTAATGTTTACCTGCACATCTATCGCCCTGTTTCATTAATCGAGATTAAGACGAACATGACATAAGAAATAACCGGAGGAGTAATTCATGCTCGAAATTGCAATCTTAAAAATCCTCAATACTTATGTCAGTTATCTTACACTATGATGTCACAAGAATATTAAAATGACAGAAAAGTTAAATAGCAAGCAGCAACTGCTTAATCTATCAAACATTAGATACTGATGAGTTTAAACAAAAGTTTGTAACGCTTCTTTTATGTATGTAACATGAAAATCTTATACAGATGGGAAAACTTTAAGCTTCTTTTCACATTAAAAAGTCGAAAAGTTTCGCAAGTTTTTTTGGGTCCACAAAGTGAGAGGAAAATTTTCTCAGTGTTGTCCAGCTTGTAGGTTTTTATATGTAAAAATAATCAAACTCATATAAATTCCAAAGGTATAGTAACCTTTCAAAACTCTAAGTTTTAAAATTCTTTTTCTAAATTTAAATTTCGTTCATTTTTAACAAAGTTATAGCTGCTTATATTTTAAAGTTCGTAGCGCAATGAACTTTCTTTCTAACTTAATACTTTAATTCAATTAAAAGCTCTCTCTTTACTCTTATTAATTATTTGGATACTTCTTTATAAATGACATCATAATTCGAGACAATGTTGATATTCAGTAGTCTTTTAACATTATCGCGATCTTGTATCTCATATCTACAAATGCACGAGAGAATTAACTCCTCTTACAGCCATCAATATCGGTAAGTATCGATAAGTACAGATATTCCAACATCTCTTCTTCTAGACTTGCGTTACATTCTTCGCCCCCATTGTCCCTCGTGAGCGGTTCGCCTATGTCTATTCATTCGCCTAAATAACCGTCTATCGGTTCACCTAATAAATACCTTAGCTATTTGCCTCTATCTACACGCTTATCTATTATGTATATTATAAGTTGCTCCCTACGTCATTATGAAATATGTACAAATTTCCAAGAATCACTTGTCTTTTCTTACATAATTCATAGGCCACGTTGTACAGGGATTAAGGGGGCGAATTTCCACGCGCATTCGCTTCTTAATGAAGATCACTTGCGTCGCCTACACTGAAAAAAAGTCTGGTAATAATAATCACAAGCCTAGATAATAATACTAAAACTTTGGTAAAATAATTTTGCTCAAAAATGTTCAATTATTGTATAATATAAAACCAACTAAATGCTAATTTTTTAAATATTATCTTTTCTAAATATTACCTTACATTTTTCTAATTATTTCCAAACGATTGATTATTATTATTATAATATATGGTAATAGGTACATATTGCACCAATAACGACATAAAACAAAACACATTTGGTAGCTATATTATCAGACTTTTTTTTCATTATAGACAATCATGTGTATCTTAGAATTATTATATAATTGGGCGAGTTTCTTTGCGTTCTATAAATCGAATTTTTCGTCATGATGATACGGATGTCATCTTCCGAGCTTGGGACTATTAAAAATCACAATGCGATAAAATCTTGGCGATTACATGAAATCAAAAATAATATAGCACAATGTAATTCCTCTTATTCTCTTCATACAAATAAATAATTGTACAATAATAACTGTTTCTATTTCAAACTAATCTGTTTACGAATGAATAAAACGTAAATATATTTTCGATGAATAATGTATAATAACATTAAATTCAATTCTTGAGAAATAAAAAGATTGTATCCTTCGTCCTCCACGCGCGTAAGAAACATCCAATAATTGTGCACTCTGCCCTGAGCATTTTTGCGTTGACGACAAATAGAAAGTTCGATTAGCGTTGCGTGTCGACAAATCGGCAAATTTCAAGCTCTCTGATATCAAGCGTTTTCATTATACATGATAATCTTTAATAATATAGATCAGTCGCAAACATACAGCACTCTTTCTTTCCTCTCGACATTCATGTCACAACATCAGAACTATCATACCATCACATATACATACATATGCCTTTTTCGTTATTTATTACTTATACTTTCAATAATGTAATCTCGACCATTAAAAAGCTAAATTACGCGCTATAAAATTGCCTCTGGCTGAGGCGTTCCAGTGATAAAGCTAGTCTACTCTCGCTATCCTCGATTCGTGGGATCCGAGAAATAACGCGATAAGCTTCCTGCGCGTCATATTTCTTCTCTCGTTCGCTTTAAAGGCTCCTTCTCGCTAGGACTCTAACTGAGTCTCAATCGAGGCAGTACCTCGTCATCTCCCATATTAAGACATGATGCACAATTGTCCCAATTTGTTTCAATTATGCATCGTTATGCAGTATGTGATTAATTAAGCAATTAACGTATAACAGAGTAAAGTTCAGAATTTTAGCATTGATAAACGAAAAAAAAGATTAGAATGTATCATTTGTTAAAAAGCAAGTGTTGGAAAAAGTTTTGAAAAGCCTGAAATATTTGTACTTTAACACAGTAGAAATCGAGATCGAAAATAGTTTTACGAATAACATCATAACACATATATATCAATTTCATATATATCGCAATAATTTATAATTTGATATATATTTTTTAGACATATAATTTGCTCTCAACAGCGATATCTTTTAAATATCAAGGAATTAAAAAATTTGCAACATTCATGATCGACATACAGTTCGGACTCCGAATCACATTTCATCAATAGAATATCCGCGGCTCTACTTGATTACAATTATTCGATTTAAGTAGACGCTTATAAAACTAAACTTGCGTGAAGCTTGATTTCAAATCTCTTCACAAGAGGAGTTTGAATCAATTAATCGTTACCAGCCACGCGTCCTTTTACGTCAAGTTAATGCGTAATGGTTTAAAGTTACAGCTTATCCACTGTCACCGCTGTAATCTCACAACTTTATCATAGGTTTGCATATATATATTACATACGCAGAGAGAGCTTCTTGGTTATTCGCTACATTGATGTTAATGTTGATGTTATTTGCCGAACCTCGGATCCCTTCGACATTCATTTCTTGCGAATGAAAAAGCCGTCGATTTATCAAGCAGGAACGATTGTCAATTTCGTCGGCAGGATGTGCATCGAAAGGTCCCATGGATCACGAATACGCGATGTCATTGCGCGTCGGACGAAATCGATTTCGACCACCGACAGGACTTGCAACTGACGTCGCCGCTTTTTATGAAGCCCTGTTTTTATATGTTTATCAGTGCTGCAAGTACAGTACTCGTGGAACGGCTGGTGGATAGTTAGCGAATCTCTAACGATCGGTCAGAGACATTTCCCGGGATTCTGGGAACACCACTGTGGCCACATAGACTCCGTCTTGATACCTCTGCTGTTCAGGACTTCGACATGCACGGCTAGTCTGGTGTAAACATTCTCGTCCGTGGAATAACTGTTCGTCGATAGGTCACTCCTGAAAAAAAGAATTTTCTTGTAATATTCTACTAGAAAAAAATCGCTGTTATATATTTGTTACATTATATTATTACCACAATCGTTCAGCGAACGCCGACGCCCTAGGCCATAGTCGAGGTCCCAGGGACGATTGTCCGGTCTGTTCGCTCCAGATCGCCGCCTCGCCGCCAAGCACCAAAGGCTGCTGTTGTGGTGGATAGTCCTTCCACGGACGATGATTGTAGACAGTTTGCCAGGTACGATATTCGCCGCACGCGGCCTCGCCGATCTCCCGCCACTTGCCGAAGCCACAGTCCAGGTACCAAGCGTCTACATGCGACAGGATTACCCGGAAGCCGTCCTCTAGCAGATCCGGCGTTTCCGGCCAATTGCTACCGCCCCAAGACTGAATCACGTGAATTTTCGGATCGAAGTACATCATGATGTAAGGCCTCTTCGTTAATGGAGAGCTCCACAGGATTACCGCCTTCGGAACTTTGTCGTGATTCGCTCGAATCAGCCGCTGCAGCATTTTTGTCTCAAATTCCGCCCAAAGTGCGTGATAATCCGTCATGTTTTGCGCCTGCATTGCGAGAGTGATATTGCCATATTGCGCCCAGCACTCGAGATTCACTTCGTCGCCACCAAGATGGACCAAATCGCGCACCTCTGTGAGATCTAATAATTCTCGGTACAGGCCCTCCAATATCCTGTATGAATGTTCATTTATTGGATTCAGTTGCCCGCAATTTGGCTCGCCACAATATGATGACCACGGCTGCTGATCCACGCACAACGCCAGTTCACCAAAACCATGTTCCGTACCTGATTATCATAAAATGTAATGAAAATGCTAATCTGTGCCAACAAGATTTATATTATTAAAAATTAATATTATAAACTTTGGAGGGCAGAACTCACCCCATTGCCATCCGGCGCCAGCATGAGCCGGAGAATCGATCTCAACGACGATCCTGACACCGCGTATTCTCGCATAATCGACTAGGTCCTTCACATCTTCAGGTGTGTAAATATGGTCGCCACTGTAAGCGCCCCATCTCGCCATCTCCGGAAACTGTGCCGAGTCAAACGGGAAACTCTGAGAGTCGGTGAGATGCCAGTGTAACGTGTTGAGCTTTGTGGCTGCCATGCCATCAATGACTCTCTTCAGTTCCTCGATGGGGAAAAACTGTCGGCCTGTGTCGACGAGAAGGCCGCGATAAGAGAATGCGGGTTTGTCCTCGATGGAGGCTCGCGTGAGGATACGAAGAGCGCCCTGCTTGCCAGCCGCCTCATCCCACCAGATCAACTGGCTAAGGGTCTCTAGACCGTGCCGCACCCCGAAGTAGCTTCTCCCCGTGATCCTGGCTTCCAGAATCTTCCCCTTCGATGTGAGCTCTAGCTTGTACGACTCATCGGTGTCCAAAGTCAAGGTGGTGCCTCGCGCATTCCCAGCGCTCAGGTACACGATGAACGAATCGATACCGGATCGACTTTTAGCATTCAACACCTTGACCAAACTCCTAATGTTTCCTGCAATTAAAAGACATTTTATAGAAGGAAGCAGCGATTCCATCAACTTAAGTTCTTATTCTTTTAATAATGATATCGGTGTTGTTATATTGCGCTGCAACATTTTGACCATGTATAAAATCTATGCAACGATAATATAACGACACCGACACTGTCGTTAAGAGTTACAGAATAAAGACTTTAATTTCACAAAACATGATGAATAATTATTTACGAGCGAAATTCAGTAATTTTTTATTCTACATTGAACATGTGAATACAACATGTAGAAGTTGTGATACATACTACGTGTAACTTTGATACATTAAGTACGTGATCTTGCATCTGGTATGTACTTTATGATATATATTTGCTTTGTCATATTTGTTAATATGAAAGGTTGACAAGCGTTACTAATTAAGAGTATCTCAGAAAATTAATAAAAGTTTTTACCTGCACTTTCTATAGTGATTAATGAGAAGAAGCTGTTATAAAGTATCTTTAACGCGAATATTCTAATATTCTCTTCTTCTTCAACACTCTTCAACACTCACCGATGAAGATATCCTTCGCATGCTCCAGCAGATCTTTCGTCTCCTGATCGCTCGTATTTACGGTGACGAACTCGATCTGCTGAAGATGCAGGATGACACTGTCATCGCCGAGGACGACATTCTCAGTCGGTCTGGGCCACAATAGACGAATATTTCCTCCGCAATGCGCGGTGCAGGTCGCCAAGGATGTCCTCGAAGACCTCACTGCTCGTCTCTCACATCGATTCGCCACACACGCCCAGGACCACGGACTTTGAAATGTCCTGCGATCGAGTGAAAATTGAACTCGTACCTCGATCCATAATCGCGATCCTTTAAGCCTATTTTTACAATTGCGTAAGCGTAGTTATAAGTGATTGTAAGAATTGATTCAATCACAATCGAATATGAGAAGAATATTCGACTGTGATTGGTCAATTTTTACAACTACAATCACAGCTATGCTTACGCAATTATAGGAATAGACTTTCCGTAACGATAATGTACAGAATATTTTAATCTGGCAATTTTTTTGTGGCGCGACTGAGATTCTTTTAGATCAAAGTTTGATAACTTTTTCTTTGAACGAAATAACTTTGTTTTGTTAAATTCTCAAATACATACATATCCAATCGTTTGTCACACCACGGATTACCAAGTAATCATATTCTTTCTTTAACAATCCAGTTTGCAACAAATATTTGTCTCGCAATAAAAAATATGGAAAATATTAAAAATGATAGGTACATTTAAGGAGACAACATGCGATAAATAATTTTATTTTAGAATTCCATTTTTTATAGTCGAAATGGCGATTGAGAAATTTAATACGTCGCGATTAGCAATCTTTTCTTTAAATATTGTATTAACAATTGAACCAATGTTTGTCAATTTGTGCACCATCTGAGCGTAAAAGAAAAATAGAAATATACAAAAAATTAACAAAGCAGCTCAGTAATGTCAAATAATTATTTGATTATAATTAAAATAAATAAATAACTTAAGAAAAAGTCACATACAAAAAAAAGTTGAATATCATTTTTATAAATTATTTCATGTACATTAAACATAGATATATTTTTATCTTATAATAAAAAGACAGGTATTTAAATAAAATTATTAATTAAATATTCAATAATAAATTAAAATAAACATTATTTTATCAAAGCGCGTAACTCAAATAGTAATACAAAAGCAAACAATTTCATAAATCAAGAACCATAACAGTTCACCCATTTTGGTAGAAGAAAAAGATAAGATCTACCTTCCGCAACTCATTCCCTATCTCGGTCAAGCTAATAATGTCATACCTCCCGCAAATGAAGAGGTACTCATTACAACGGCAAGAGAAATGAAAGCGCAAAAAGCAATATCATTGGCATCGTTCAAATTAGAAAAGCAAGGAAAGAAGAGAGAAGCGATGTTTGCCGAATAGAAGCACCCAAGAAAATAGCTGGCTAATCATGGGACGGAATAACGTTCTGCTCGAAGTAGAAGAATAGAGAAATGCACGAGTGCCTCAATAGAAAGCGCTCAATAGAAAAAGGAGTGCTCCGACAAAATTCGAGAGGGAAATTCGCGAGTGAAGCAACGACTATTTACAAATCGATTCGCAGTGAACTAGTTGGAGGATTGGTTGTATCTCGCGTTATAGAAATTGAAGATTGTTATATGGATAGAGGTGAAAAAGGTTTCTTTCCCAGGTTTCTTTCAAAAAGAAATACATTTTTTTCTTATCATCACACAAACTCCCAATCGAGTTTGGATCTCTTCTGAAGGTGAAGACGAGTCTCGCTCTCAGAATGGAAGGTCGGGAAAGTCGGGTTTCACGTGAAGCGGGTCAGGACAAATGCAGCAACCGTACAATCCGCGCAATACAAGAGACAATAGTGCGTAACAATAGCGGGCGCGGGCGTGCGTTTAGTATAACGGGCGTGCTCGGGCGAGTAGATTAAACGGGACGAGCGTCAGAATGAGGTGCGACGTTGCGAGAGGTGCACCAGCCGAGAGGAATATACGGGAATTCTCACGTGGAAATTCAGGACATTCAGGGAATTCGTTCACTGAGGCGGCCGACGTGTTGCAAGTCATGCCTGGGTAATTGTTTAATTGAGAGAACAACGGCCGATGGGTATCAGACGGCACATGACTGGTTCCGTAAATCATATATAAAAAAAAATAAACAAGAAGTGAAAGGATATTATGAAAACACGATTAAATCGCCTCATCAAAAACGACAGTCTAGTCAGTCTATTAAATGCATACTTGAGATTCTGATACTTTCACAGATAAGTACTCGTTATAAAGTTTCGATGAAATCCTTAATACGTGCAGATGAAATCCTTAATACGTTCGTTGATATCGCTACACCGACTCCGTCTTGTAAAATTGAAGATTCGAATTACTCTGTGAAATACAAACGTGGTTTCGTCTCTCTGTAGAATTTAGAACTCGAGAAAGAGGACAAACACTTTTTTTCTGTAAAACTATGCTTTTGATTTTTTTTTTGTAACAGTTCAAAGGGAATTTTTGTATCGTGCCGTTCAATACGCTGCAACACCGTGAAAACAGAAAGAGTGGTTCAAAAATACTTTTCCCTGAACCAAACACACGTGAACAGAGGGATTAGATCAATGCGGGGGGATGGGAGGTAAGAAAAACATACGCAGGACATTTGGTCTAGCATAAGATTCCATCCCCAGTCGGGGGCTATCCGTTACCTAGGCTCTTCCAGATACTCGTAGAGCCGTTCGCCAGGTCCGATCGTGGTTTCATTACCGACCAGGTAATTAACCAAGCCGCGCTGCAAGTCCTCTAGTCTTCTTCGATGCACGATTCATCGCGTTGCGAGTGCAAAATAAATTCAAAATAAAAACAAAAATCATGCAGTGTAAGAAAATCATCAGAAGAGGCACTGGATTAATACACAACGCGGGCAAACGAACCTGCGCTGGCTGTGTGTTAACAGAAAACATAGAAATATAGAAATTAAAAGAAAAAAAGCGATTTTGCGCTTCGCAAAGATTTGTCTTACGATACTCAGAGATATTTTTCTTCTTATAAAAAAATTGTGTGAATTAAAATCAGAGTGAAATATGAAATAGAATGGAGTCCAAAGAGACTGCTGGCTTTTTTTTAACATATTTGACAAATGTTGAGGTTTCCACGGGTAATTTCTACATATATTTGACAACTATGTATGATTTCCAGTTTGTCTTACTCAACAGAATCTTAAAAGATATTGCGTTTTACTTGCCGAATTGTCTGCTTGAAAGGCAAGTGATTGCAATAAAAAAAACTTACCGTCGCGTCGCAAACGGCTGCAGCGATGCGAGCGGCGGAGCATGAGCGTACATGGCGATCAGCAGGACACCGGTCATTAGGACGAGGAAGAGGAGGATCCTCCTCATCCATCCGCTGGGCATGCTACCCACCATTCTGACGAGTCTGCAAATAAACCGAAACAAATATCATATAGATGTGGTTGCAGATAGTCACGAACGCGTTGTGTCAACCGGGACAACGGTAACAATGTCCCTCGTGCCTGCAGATCGTTTATCGATACCATTTCGAATTTCAATAAACTAGCGAACAAGATTAGCAATAAATGCGGGATTCGTTACCTTTATTTTCAGTACTAAATGCAATCGCTTGACGTTTCTCGTTTCGATGAGATTTGACATCGGATAAAAGTAGTTCGACATGAATCTTTAAATAGACAGGTGGTTTAAAAATACGCAAGTTGATAGATAGAGTGTTTAGAAAACCTAAAAATAACTTTAATTTTATAGTTATATTTTTTACTAATATTTATTGTAAATTTGTATCAGTTACAAGATAGAAGAATGTGAAAATAATGAACTGAAAGACTTCTTCTGGACATCCGGACTTTTTATTTTTCCTCTTTTCCAGAATAAGATTTTAAAGAAAACTATACCTGGGGGATATTGTGGCAACCCAACTTAGCTACTTAAAAGTTAAATGTAAATCACAGGCACGCGTTCTTCCAGAGATTGTCTCTTTTACGTTTTTATCTTTCCACACTTCCTACTGTGATTGTGACAAGGAGATAAAACGGTCGCATTTACTATTAAACGCATAACAAGAAGATACAGATGCGCGTTTCTACCGCATTCTACCACGAGCATTCCCAGATGGTGACACGCAAGAGATAAGAGCGTGATTTACGTGGAAAGCACGTCTGCATAAAGACATGGCACATATATATCTCAAGATTAGACAGCGAGCGACCGAAAGGAAACGCGTTTCCCGCATACTTCCGGCGATTCTCTTGGTACAAGGGAACGTTGTTCCTCTGTCCTGCTTGTTCTCATCAGACCGACAGAAAACGAGGAGAAACCACGGCGAAAGTGTTTTCGAACATAAATGCACGCGCGTAAAAGCATCGCTTCCGCTTTATGATCCCACGAGGATTTATAGACCTTTGCCAGGCGCCGTCTATACGATATTACGTAACATTTCCATCAGAAAACCGAGCAAATCTTCATCCCTCGCGATCTGATCTGTCGAGATGCATCCGACAGATGTATAAGTTCGATTTATCGCTAATGTAAATACAGCGAGGAAAATTCGCGTGGACGTGAAATATCTCGTGATATTTCCGACGTTAGATCGAAATTAAATTGCAAATATGTCATTAATAGGAATTAATTGTTGTTTATAAGCAACATTAAAAAATTTCACATTAATTACGTAGTAATATAATGGAACAAATAATAAATTATCGTTTGTATAAATTATTAAATAAATTATTATATTAAACAAATATATGCCATTTAATAAATAATTAATTTTAAATGTTTTGCAAATTTTGTATAATTTAAGAATGCAAGAAAATGAAACAACCTTTTTTTAACTTTTTTAGAGCGCTGAATTCGAATATGTGCAGCCAAAAAATTCCATCAGATTCAATTTTTAAGATATAGCATGTTATTTTTAAGATATACAGGATATCAATTTTTTTAAGATTTCAGCATTTCTTTCCGAATAATTTTGATGCGACAAGTGATGAGCAATGGAAGTGTTTCCAACAGGATTTGATAATATTGGAAAATGTTATCAAAAACGAAAATATGCTAGACGACTGCTGCTAAACTTCAATGCGTGAAATCGATCTAAAACAAAAATTAAACGCTCAGCAATTCTAATTTATTTTGTAATTTTAATAAAACTTCACTGTATATTGGACAAAATATCTTTCCTCTTATATCTTAAAAATCGGGTCTGATGGAAATATTTCAATGGCAGATTCGGGCTTAGCGTCGAAGACTGTCCTAGAAACAGTCTTCATATATTTTTACCCAAACCTCGTAAACTAGTATTAATATTGATAAGATCAGTCGTTCGTTATCTCTTCTTATACAGAAAAATGTACGCGCGATCCAATATTTCAAAAATAAAAAACCTTCCAATTGAGGACAATGTTTTTTTAGACTCGCTCTCGCCACGTCGTAAAAAGGAACGAACGTCATCAAGTGTCGCTACTTATCGTGGTGAGTCTAAGGGCCACCTGTCGAATTGTACAGAAATACACCTTGGACGCCTAGGCGAGGTCTAAGCTTAGCTCGTTCGCCTCTCGAAATGTACCGCAGTCTAGACGAAGCATGCGTTCTGATTACTACACAAACAACACTTGGCACCTCTCAGATGCTTATACTCCGAGAATAGGCACTTTGAGTTTCGATCCCGCCGCCTCGCAAATGAATCATAATATCCTATGCTAATTTATTCCACTGTAATCAAGACCCTAACGTCGAGTTATGGCAGTTGTGGGAAAAACAACACCGACCGCAGCGTTTTCGTGCGCCGTTATTTTTCATTCCTCGTGCATACTCGACGTGTTTTGCATTCAGGCAGCTCTAATGACATTCATGCACGAAGCCAAGGCGGCTAAGCGAAATAGAACAGTACACAACCCGAAAAAATCGATTGCAGGCAGTGGCAGATTATTCGATATCAAACGAGAATTCTAGATCGAGATTGGTCAAATAATTCATGCATGAAAAAAGAAATAAAGTTCTGCTACATATCGTATTATGCACTTTCTTAAAATATTTAGCATTTACCGCCCTAAATAATTTAATATAAAAAACAATTAAATGTTAAACAACATGAGAATTGAAAAAACGATGTGTGTTAAAATATTGAACAATTTTCAAAATAGATCAACAAATTTTTAATCTGTTTTGAAAGACATTAGTGACTGACTTCAGTGTATTTAAAAAGATAAAATATACCATAAAAATTTGTCTTTTTTTTCTAAATATTAGCCAACCAATAAAAATTATATTAATAATCACTATAGTAGTTCATAAAATAATACATAACATTTAATTCCACATTTCGATTAAAAAATTGTACATAATAATTAATTTTACATTTCGCTAAATTGCAAACAAGATTTAATTTTATTATTTACTATAATATTTATTGTAAATTTAACTGCGGTTAAATTGTAATTTAAACAACTGAAGAATTGCATTAACAGAGACGCAATTTTAATTTTGTGCAATTTGATTTCTTTTCATTACAGACTTTGCTTTCCGTAAACAGAGTTTGATCGACGACGCAAAGAACTTAAACGATGCACACACGGATCCATCAATTTCCACATCAAGAAGCTAATTTCGCAGAGATCCGATCGAACCTCAACACGACACTTTGCTCAGATAAAATACTATACCATCGTGATACCTATGTGGCGACATCGGGCCGCAGCGAGAGACTGGCAATCAGACACCACACCACGCCACACCGAACCACGTTGTGCGCAGCCAGTTGGCCGAAATTCACCCTCGCGCGATTAGGCGAGCGGGTGGCTTAACATTACCGCCTCTAGCCAGTAGAAAGATGGTGTAAAGCCTTCTTCCTCTCTTTCTCTTTTTGCGAAGATAGTGGCGAAAGAGAGGCGGCAGTGAGGGTGGATTATGAATCGAGCGAGGGTAGGTCGAGGGAGCGTGACGCGACAGGGATGACGAAGTCGACGAGGATGGTGGGAGCGACGGCGGTGGTGGCGGCGACGGCGTCGTTGCTGCTCGTGCCTTCAGCACACGTGAACTATACCTAAATGCCGTGCCTCGCCGCGAATCGCGTGGCGTAGCCAAGCAACGCGCGTGCCATGACCGTCGTCGCCGATAGTCTCCGGCGAAACGGTACTAAAGACGGACCGGGGAGATTCGCCCGACGCGAAGAGCGGGACCGTCGTCGACGTACGGCCTCCCCGTGCACAACGTCGTCCACCGTCGCCGTCGCGGTGATCTCTGGACGGGAGAAAGGGCGAACGAACGAACGAACGGATGGACGGGCAGGCCGACACCGGTCAGGATTGTCATCGATCGCCAGGAGAAACGGTATCGCAGGTGTTCGGCGGGCGAGTGCGCGATCGACCGGGTCAGCCAAACCCCGTTGTTGTACACTGAGAAAAAGGTCGGTCTCTCACTTGGCGAATTGACACCTGTCACGGTATCAACAAGGTATCAAATGAAATTGAAGGGCACGGTGTAACTGACATTTGCGGGAATTTATCTGTCGAAAAAATTCGGAAAAATTTATTTCAATTCCGAGACACACAATTTCGACCGATTATCTGAAAATGACTTCAAACGATTTTACACCGCGCTCTTTCATTCAACAATCGTCGGGTTCATTGGCGAAAATAAATTAATAAATAAATTAATAAAGCACAATATACGACATAATATGTTAAATTGTTATGTATTTTACGCTATTATAGTCTCGCTTCCGGTTCGTTCATTAAATCAAAATATCAATAATTTCATTTATTTAACAGTAATTTTGTTTGTCGAAAAATATGAGCGTTAAACTGAAAACAAAAGTACATGAAATATCAAATAGCAGATAGGATTGATATGTGCATTTCGCGCAATTAGGATTGATAGGATCATTTCGTGAGTGGAGATATCTAGTTTTAAAATAAGCTTCGAATTAGACGATGCGATTAGATAATGAAATTCGAGAATATTCTGATAACATCAAATGGGCGCGTTTTGCTGTCACCCTACGTAAAAGCCGCAAAGGTCACATTTTGCACGCTTGAAGCACCACTATTAATATTCGGAGGGAGGACAACGCCGTGCATCACTACTTGTTTCATTTAATTACGCTTCAATCAAATGTAAACAACTTCTCGAACGCGTGTTCCACTTTAATCTGTAAACGAGCTAACGAGATCGCCAACGATCGCCCTGGATTAATAGCAACAACTGTTCGATCGTTCCCGTTAATGATTCTTGCGAAAGTTCGCGAGCGGCTACTTTTGAGGTAACACTAGAATAGCCGACGATATTTTGCTAGAAAACTGTTAAATTTTATAATTTCTGCTATCCTTATTTTCGGTTAATGAAAATTTCTTTCATTTATATATTATTTATATTGTTATATTTATTATATATTTTATTATATTTATT